CGTTGGAGTAGTGAGTTTTTTTTTGTTTTTTTTTTGGGGGGGGGTTTCTAGGTTTAAACATGCTAATTTTTCTCTGAAATTTATTCCATAAATTAATATTCTTAATGAGACCAAAGTCTGATACCATCCACTTTGGGGACTATGCTGTTATATGCCATTACATCAAACATTATCGTAATAATATCGTAATAAATACTGCCATGTAGCGTATTATCCTATACAAAATGGAATCAGTGTTATTATCACCTCACAAGATTCCACAATCCTGTGCTTTTGTTGGAGACAAAAATTAAAAAAAAAAATCCTATTTTACAGCTGTTATAATTCCAAAGGTAAACATGATTTTAATATAAAGATGGCTGTCTTCTGGGTTGTAGCGCCGTGTAGTGTGGTAGATGTTTACTGACGTTACAGAGGTCCTTGCTGCCTACATCCCAAAAGACTCCTAAGAATGAAGTTAGTTTCCCTAGTTCACAATAACCACGCACTGGAGTTACCCCTGTGCCAGATGAATTCAATCCACGTCCTATTTCTTCAAGACCCATTTTAATATTATATTGTAATATACGAATAGTTTCGCCAGTCGTCTTATTTCTGGTTTTCAATCTAAAATTTTTAAAAAAATTTCTCATCTATCCCAGGTGTGCCCCATTATATTATTATGTGTGACGGAACATTTGTTATATATACATTGCTATTTAATGTTTGAACAAAGAACTTACCTGATTTATATTTTCTGACACAAATTCCTTATAGACACAGCATGTCCCGAACTGCAGTATGCACACGTTAATACAGATCCTGCGTAGAAAATTAAAGATCGTCAAATGTTTCCGTATTTTGTACCAAAACGATTACTGGCGAGAAGCACTTGAACATCACACGATAAAACAGAGTAGTCTTAAGAAAATTTTGGAGGCCACTGGCCCTAATTTCCATTAAGTCCCCCCCCCCAAAAAAAAATTGCAGAACACATCTTACTTATCAAAGTTTTAACTTACTAGAGAATAATACTACACTCTATTACACTATGTAGGTATTGGCCGAATGATGCAAAGATATACCGACGATTCCAATTTTGATTCATAATTTATTATAAATAAATTTCACTTAGGCACTTTTTTATTTAATGTCATTAACGTACCTGCGGAAAAGTAGTTTATTGTAAATTGTTGTATGAGGACTGAGAATGGAAATTGATATCTAACATCCACAACATTTAACTAAAATATAATCTGATATACTGACCAGTTCAGAGGGACTCTGAATGCATCTGATTCATACCCATATATTGGGATAATTTAATTGTTGTTTACAGAATCAGCAGTCTGTGCCCCTCTTTGACAATACTAAAATTACTAACATTAACGCACCACCACGAACTCGCCTCACTATGACACTGTTTTGCAAAACAATCAGGCAATTTTGTTACAAGGGCAAGTTGTTTACTAAACTCTCACTTTATTCGTTTTCTCACTCTGCATTCAAAATTACGCTTCATTTGGTTTTAGTAATAAAAACTTTAAAGGAATAGTGATGATAAAACGTTGACAACCACAATTACGCAAGATATTCACTATAAAATCCTGTTGTTTACAGCGCGGGAGACCAATATAACCAACAAACGCACCGGCACTTACTTCAAGTGACTGACGCACTCATCCCCGTGTGTGTACTGAAGGAAATTCTATGCAGGCTAAAACATGAACCGGTTAGCACAGAGTTTCAGTAAGAAATTAAGTTAAACTAAAGCGGAAGTATCAATTTGTCTGTGGTTTATATGACGACGCTATGATTACCTCAGACTATAGCCTGTAGGGTGGGTTCGAATAGTTCGAATGATTAAAGAAAGAAGGAAAAACACAGCGACATCGGTCCTCACGAATTCACGGAACAAGAAACGATCAACAAACGTCGTAGCGAATCTCTTCTTGTCATCACCTAGCTACGCTACTTTGGAATCAACAACCTGTTTTCTTATTTCTCAGCCAAGGAGAATGGCTATGTGGCGAGAAACGCAATTATTCGTGCGATACTACCATTCAAAGGCTAGATAACCACTGGCCTTCGTTCGGATACGCTACGACTTATCAGAGTCCTTCATGATATTCACTTTCCATACTATAAAAGTTACGTTGTCCGTTTCACTACTCAGAGGCGTACAGAGGGAGGGAGATTCTTAGGCACATGCACATGGGTTCAAACTTGTAATATGTAATTCACCAAAGTAAGATATATTTTGTTTCCTGCTTTATTAAAATTCATAGGTTATGTCTTACGTAATGTGGGATAGGATTTGATTGCTGTGTTGAAATGTAGTCTTGTAGGTGGTCAATGAAGTTTCAGAGTTGCTGAAGGTGATACATTTCTTTGAAATGTAGATATCATCTGAAAACTACATTGAATCACAACCCAATGCCAAACGCAGAGGTAATATGTTCCTCTAAAATATTGGGAACACTGTAAAAGATGACAGAGACCACAACCAAACATTTTTAACACCATGAGAACTTTAAAATCTCATGTCTACAATATGCATGTAAATGATAAACTAAGAAGGGCACAGAAATAAGCAATGATGATTTATTTTAAGGAACCATTTCATAATCTTTGTTGAAGGAAGTGGCAACCATGTTGGACAACCAACTGCATCAATAACCTCATTTTTTTATATAAATATCTCCAATATTTGTTATATATGAAGTGGGAGAATATAAGGTTTTGGGAAGAGAAATGATGGTCTTATAAAATCACATTTTGTAAAATAAATTTACTTCAATATAACTTACAAGCAATAAAGTTTATTTGTAAATAGATAAAATTTGTAAATAAAATGCAATAAATCCGTCGGTCAAAGTTTCTGAACAATAGCCTCCACACTTGCGTAAGTGCCTGTGATAAATCCGATGACGCCAATCAAGATGAAGAAACCATCCTTCCACAGCACCCATTTGAAAGGGCCCAGCCCAGACTCCCAATGTGTAGCTATGTCCATGATAGCCGGGAAGAACAGGGCCAGCGCAGTGCTACTGACGGCACCCACCAGAGAGATGAACAGACTGAAGTGTGGAATTACTTCTGCTAGAATAACTGCATCAACACACAGAGATAATAAGATCTGGATTTGCTTCATCAAGAATAACTGCAACATTGAATTTTGAAAGGTAGGAACTATATCTTTGGGGCTCAAGATACTGCCCCTAACCTTAAATATCAAGTATGACTCTTACATACCTCTCTATTCATTATTCCTAATCACGCTGTCAGATGTAATCTGACACTAAACAAACCAAGAAGCTGATATAATGTCATAAAATCCTAAAGTAAATATAACATACTTACATGTTATGAGAACCAGAGAGCTACGGAAGATGATTTCAATTAGGGAGCTGTATTTGAAGGGGCCCCATCTCCTCTGAATGCGAGGCCAGAGGATCTCTATGGGAACATACATCTGCAGAGCATAGGAGAACAGGACACCCACAGAGATGGTCAACTGCACTGCTTGGGCCAGACTGGAGGGAAAAACGTTCCATGACAGATCTTCCACAATTTATCAATTGAGATTTGAATATAGGTTTGCTGATAAATGTGGTAAGATACAAACAAACTGATCGAATATAAATACAGTACAAAGAAGTGACCCAAGAAATGCAGACAGTGTAGAGGAACTTCATTGTAAGACCAAGGTGAAAATAAAAACAATAACAAATAAACAGTATACAGGGTATACACAAAAGAATGGTGCAACTGTGACTGGCGACTCATTTTTGGATATGTTGGAAAGCTGGTTGTTACCCCAACTGAATACCAATTATGACGATTACATTCTACAACTGGACGGAGCTCCCCCCCATTTTCACAGGAATGTACGAGTGCTTCTCAATCGTGTTCTTCCACGGCGCTGGATCGGACATGCTGCTGCAAACGGAGACGACAACCTTCTCTCTTGGCCACTCCGTTCGCCAGAACTTACACCGTGCGATTTCTTTCTTTGAGGGGTTCGTTAAAGACAGCGTTTATGTACCACCATTGCCCACTGCACTGCAGGCCATTACAGCGGACATGCTACACCAGGTCTGGGATGAGTTTGATTACCGTGTGGATGTGCGTCGTGTGACCCAGGGTGCACACATTGAAGGATTGTAATTAACGCATGAGAAACTTGGACAGTTGACGCCGCTGACGGTGTATGTTGTGCCCGTGTAAGGCGAGAAATAAATTTTTTATTAACTTTTGAAACCGCACCATTCTTTTGTGTATATCCTGTATAACAAATGTAGTTTATATGTGGGGGTCCGCAGTGGCCTCGCGGTCTGAGGCGCGGGCCTTGTGTCGCTTGGTCGCTGGGACCGTGGGTTCGAATCCCACTCAAGCCATGGATGTTTGTCCGCGTTTTTCTGTGTTGTGCTGTCCTGTGTACAGGTAGAGGCATTGCGACGGGCCGATCCGTCGTCCAAGGAGTCCTACCGAATGTCTATAGATCAAAGCCAATGAAAAAGTTGGGACCCGCAGTGCTCAGGCACTTGAAGAACGGGTCGTTCCCAGTATCCAGTGTATGTGATCTGGCCTGGACTGGAACCAAATATGATCCATTGTCATAATGAATCACTAATCTCCTTAACACGCTGTCAGAACTTAAGAGTTTTATAACAGAAATTGACAACATAAATCAAGATATCTACAAGAAAAAATATGACAATTACAAATAAATTAAAAAAAATCTAAAATGTTTAATTAATGCAGGTGATACTATAATCTTAAAATAAACGAAAAATTGCAAAAAAAAAAAAAAGTAGAACATTAGCAGGTAAATGTGACAATTGTCATTTCAAATTAAATCAGTTCTAGAATTTATCTTATTGATGGAACATGGTGCAAAAGTGTATAATATTTAATGAAAATTAAAAGCAATAAAATGAAGTTGTGTGTACAGAAAATGTCAAAATATTGTTGAGTAACTGTCCTGGGCATTAGTTATTTCTGCAGGGAGTAGCAGAATGACACTCAGAATTCTATTTTACCGAACATCAAACAAACTTCACATTTATGTTTGAATACATAACTAATGTTTTGCGGCTGGAGTTAATAAAACTCTGTTGAGTGTGATACGCCATCTGCAAATTGACTGGAATATCCACATTTTCTTTCCCACAACTAAGAGGACCATAAAACAACAAGTGATCAACAATCTTGGCCAATGATCATTTTTAGACTTGAGGTTCTCACAGCGGTGAGTATGAAGATTTCCGTCTTCTGGGTTGTTGCGCGGTGTAGTCTGGTCGATGTCAACCAACGTTTCAGAGGTTATACTGCCTCCGTCATCAGGGCGATGAGTATGAAGATTTCTGTCTTCTGGGTTGTTGCGCGGTGTAGTCTGGTCGATGTCAACCAACGTTTCAGAGGTTATACTGCCTCCGTCATCAGGGCGATGAGTATGAAGATTTCTGTCTTCTGGGTTGTTGCGCGGTGTAGTCTGGTCGATGTCAACCAACGTTTCAGAGGTTATACTGCCTCCGTCATCAGGGCGATGAGTATGAAGATTTCTGTCTTCTGGGTTGTTGCGCGGTGTAGTCTGGTCGATGTCAACCAACGTTTCAGAGGTTATACTGCCTCCGTCATCAGGGCGATGAGTATGAAGATTTCTGTCTTCTGGGTTGTTGCGCGGTGTAGTCTGGTCGATGTCAACCAACGTTTCAGAGGTTATACTGCCTCCGTCATCAGGGCGATGAGTATGAAGATTTCTGTCTTCTGGGTTGTTGCGCGGTGTAGTCTGGTCGATGTCAACCAACGTTTCAGAGGTTATACTGCCTCCGTCATCAGGGCGATGAGTATGAAGATTTCTGTCTTCTGGGTTGTTGCGCGGTGTAGTCTGGTCGATGTCAACCAACGTTTCAGAGGTTATACTGCCTCCGTCATCAGGGCGATGAGTATGAAGATTTCTGTCTTCTGGGTTGTTGCGCGGTGTAGTCTGGTCGATGTCAACCAACGTTTCAGAGGTTATACTGCCTCCGTCATCAGGGCGATGAGTATGAAGATTTCTGTCTTCTGGGTTGTTGCGCGGTGTAGTCTGGTCGATGTCAACCAACGTTTCAGAGGTTATACTGCCTCCGTCATCAGGGCGATGAGTATGAAGATTTCTGTCTTCTGGGTTGTTGCGCGGTGTAGTCTGGTCGATGTCAACCAACGTTTCAGAGGTTATACTGCCTCCGTCATCAGGGCGATGAGTATGAAGATTTCTGTCTTCTGGGTTGTTGCGCGGTGTAGTCTGGTCGATGTCAACCAACGTTTCAGAGGTTATACTGCCTCCGTCATCAGGGCGATGAGTATGAAGATTTCTGTCTTCTGGGTTGTTGCGCGGTGTAGTCTGGTCGATGTCAACCAACGTTTCAGAGGTTATACTGCCTCCGTCATCAGGGCGATGAGTATGAAGATTTCTGTCTTCTGGGTTGTTGCGCGGTGTAGTCTGGTCGATGTCAACCAACGTTTCAGAGGTTATACTGCCTCCGTCATCAGGGCGATGAGTATGAAGATTTCTGTCTTCTGGGTTGTTGCGCGGTGTAGTCTGGTCGATGTCAACCAACGTTTCAGAGGTTATACTGCCTCCGTCATCAGGGCGATGAGTATGAAGATTTCTGTCTTCTGGGTTGTTGCGCGGTGTAGTCTGGTCGATGTCAACCAACGTTTCAGAGGTTATACTGCCTCCGTCATCAGGGCGATGAGTATGAAGATTTCTGTCTTCTGGGTTGTTGCGCGGTGTAGTCTGGTCGATGTCAACCAACGTTTCAGAGGTTATACTGCCTCCGTCATCAGGGCGATGAGTATGAAGATTTCTGTCTTCTGGGTTGTTGCGCGGTGTAGTCTGGTCGATGTCAACCAACGTTTCAGAGGTTATACTGCCTCCGTCATCAGGGCGATGAGTATGAAGATTTCTGTCTTCTGGGTTGTTGCGCGGTGTAGTCTGGTCGATGTCAACCAACGTTTCAGAGGTTATACTGCCTCCGTCATCAGGGCGATGAGTATGAAGATTTCTGTCTTCTGGGTTGTTGCGCGGTGTAGTCTGGTCGATGTCAACCAACGTTTCAGAGGTTATACTGCCTCCGTCATCAGGGCGATGAGTATGAAGATTTCTGTCTTCTGGGTTGTTGCGCGGTGTAGTCTGGTCGATGTCAACCAACGTTTCAGAGGTTATACTGCCTCCGTCATCAGGGCGATGAGTATGAAGATTTCTGTCTTCTGGGTTGTTGCGCGGTGTAGTCTGGTCGATGTCAACCAACGTTTCAGAGGTTATACTGCCTCCGTCATCAGGGCGATGAGTATGAAGATTTCTGTCTTCTGGGTTGTTGCGCGGTGTAGTCTGGTCGATGTCAACCAACGTTTCAGAGGTTATACTGCCTCCGTCATCAGGGCGATGAGTATGAAGATTTCTGTCTTCTGGGTTGTTGCGCGGTGTAGTCTGGTCGATGTCAACCAACGTTTCAGAGGTTATACTGCCTCCGTCATCAGGGCGATGAATCGCTCTGATGACGGAGGCAGTATAACCTCTGAAACGTTGGTTAACATCGACCAGACTACCCATCGCAACAAACCAGAAGACGGAAATCATCATCATTTTTAGACTTCACAACTTACATGTCTTCTTGTGGCAAGTTGAGAGTGAGGCTTCCTTCTACGCTGTCTCCATACTTGAGGTAACCAAGAAACCCGACTGTTACAATTAAGCATGTCACAATGGTCATACCGATGTTGAGAACACCAAATGGTCTTGTGAACTGATCATGTTGTTTCATTTCACTCTGCAGGGGCAGCACCTGTACTCAGACACACATAAACAAGAGCGCTTGTAATGGCAGAGCTTGGCTTATACTGTGAAGCTGTTCATTAACCATGTTTCTTGAATGTTTATACCACTCTCAGTACATGAGCAGTTATTAAAGCAAGATTTCTAGTAACCAGGGTTCGGTTTCTCGCCAGTTATACAGTTTTTGGTAAGATTAGCTGTAAAATATTTTCAAAGACAGGTAAAAATAACAAAAATTAACAAAGCTACATTTTAAATTATTAAATAAACACAAAGTACTTCAATATAACTTTTGCATTACAACTACTCGCACATTAACAGAAAACTGTTTATATTATTATAGATTATAATAATATTCCTTTGACATTTGTTAAAGTCGTACTACATTATACTGGTTTGTGTAATGTACAAAGTATTCTCTCCCTTGCTACTCCTGTTGAATTAAATTATTAAAATTAAATTAATAGGCTGTCAGTCATTAATATGTTTTATACACATTTTAACTATATCAGTGACACCCTTCAAATTTAAATTGTACTGTCGTCATGTCCTGCATTCAACACGTACTTGTCTCAGACTAATGTTGCACATTTAATATTTTCTGCGTCTCATACTGCATAGAATGGTACACGATTTCTTAAAATAATTTAACAAAATATGTTACAAATTGAGACACATTTTAAAAATAAATTATCTTGAAGATAGGCATCAATAATATTTCTTAAAATTTAATTTTGAATGTTGAAGAACCCATTCACCCTTTACTAAATGATCATGACAAATCAGTGAACTTCCTCCCACTTACGCCACTAAAACCAAGTGGTTAACTGTGAGTACCATCTGCTTTAATAACCCATAACTCTGTATTTTTGTTCATGGACGATATTTTGTATGATTTTGAAAACAAGAAACAGTCATCTCCTTAAACAACATAAACCAACTGATCTTTGTGATGAAGATATGTTGTTTCCCTTCAGGTAAGAAGCAAATCTGTAAGTAGCATTTGGATGAGCGTTGACCTTGAAAAGTGAAAAAAATTCATTCTGCTTCCATTCTACCAAACTGTATACTGTGAAGCATGTTTAATATGTCAAGATAATAATGAAGAATATAAAACATTAAAAAAAGTACAAAATTTAACTTACTGATGGGATGAAATTGGTTTTCTTCAGCTTTGTTCAGAATTATATATATAAGCAAATTAGAATTTTTGTGTGAATTCATCAATTGAAGCTAAAAGCCTTTTTTCTAAGTTATATCTGCTATTTATGTGTAGAATATATTTAATGTTTCACAAATAAGAAAAATACATGATCCTCAGAATTGCCCAATTTGTGTAAATCATTTCTGTGCGGGACCAATGAATAGTAACTGTTTCACTACATAAGATAAAAAAATCGCCCACAAAATGCTAAATTCCATTACATATCAGGAATACACAAATAAACCTTATTACACAGATTTAGTATTCACCACTTCCATTACGTCATACTTAAAAGCTTGCATACCAGATTCAGAATGACCATATTTTGTTTTAATACTTTACATACCATACGGGATAGCTCAGTCAGTATAGTCACTAGCTACGGGATGGACGATTGGGGTTTGAACCCTATATGGGAGCGGAGGATTTTTCCTCTAGCCTCTGCGTCCAGACCGGCTCTGGGGCCCGCCCAGCCTTCTCTACAATGGGTACCGGGGGTCCTTTCCCGGTGGTAAAGCCAGCCGAGGCGTGATGCTGACCACTCACCCCATCTAGTGCCGAGGTCAAGGAAGAGAGGAGCTATACCTCCGCTCCCCCCAAGCGCCTTTACGGCATGTAGCGGGACAAACTTTACTTTTACTTTACGTACCAATCCAATGCCTTCAAAAGCATAGATGGCAGTGCCAAAGAAGAGAGGAATCTTTGACCACGGTGCAATGTAGTCCCTCGTGGAAGGTGTCGGGAGTTCCTGGCTGATATAGTACAATGTGACAGCAATACCAACTGTCATGAAAACATTGGCAAACAGAGATACAGGCACGAGGTACTTGAGGTCTCGGATCCAACATGAGAGCATGATGGGTAAGAGGAGGATCAGCATGTGGATGTGAATGTCCAGCTCCACATTGTAATGGTCCATCACCTGTAACCAAACAGTAACGCATCAGGTAAGTTTCTGAGACGCGAGTATTATCGGTTTCGATACAAACAATTTCTTTGAGATTTATTGCCTGAAGTCGACACTGCTAATCTCAAACTTCCTTGAAATAAACCTTTTCAGGTTTTCCCTTAGAAGACAACTGTTCTGTCCCGTTAGTAGTCAATTGTCCTGCTTAAGAAGGATTTGGGGTTTTTATGCCAGTGAGTAGAAAGATGTGCTTATGTCCTGGGAAACGAAAATTTTAAGGCAGATTTTTGGTCCAATATGTGGCAATGACTTATGAATATCAAGCTGGAGAAGCTGATCAAAAGCTGAGATATTGTAGCTGTAATAAAGGCAGAAAGGATAGAATGGCTTGGACACATACTCCGAATGAGTGACGATAGAGGACGTAAGATGATCATCAATAGTAAACCTCCTGGTAAATTAAAAAAAGGAAGACCGAAACTCCGGTGGGTCAAAGACGTGGAATCTGATCTTAAACAGGTGGGCAATAAGAGGCTGGAGAAGAAAAGCACAGAATAGGGTAGACTGGGCATCGATCGCAAGAGAAGCCAAGGCTACACTGAAAGGGCCATAGTGCTAAAGAAAAAGAGTAGAAAGATGGCTGTCTTCTGGTTTGTAGTACTGTGTAGTCTGGCAGAAGTTTACCAAAGTTTCAGAGGTCCTCGCTGCCTTTATCATCAGGGTGATGAGTCACCCTTATGGCAGAGCCAAGGTGCTACAACCTAAAACACAGCCATCTTAATTGTCAAGTAGTGAACAACTGAATTGGTAAGAATGACTGCAAGTTTCTCCAATTTCAAACACATATCTCAAGCTTTAAATCTGTAATTTATCCCAAGCAATAAAACATTCACCCGCTCCACCAGAAAATTAACTTACAAAAAAGCTGATTTACCTTCTTCACATTATCAGAGATAAAAACGAAGTATACACAGCAAAAGCCCATTTGGGTTACGCATAGGAAGATGTTGATCCACAATCTGCAACAAGAAGTATTAACAATGACTGAACAGAGAATCTCATGCAAGCAACAGTAATGTAAAAAATGGTACTAGAGGTACAAAATATGCCTATGACTCATTGAATTTGGTTTACACATGAAATTAGTTATGCTACTTAAAACATGCTTAAATAAGACCCAGAGAAGTCTTTACAGACAAACACTTATCTGACGAATTTCCTATTTAGATTAACACTCTGTTAAACATTTTTTAGAATATTAAAAATCCCATGGATGTCACAGATTCAACAACTTTTTGTAACTGGTATTCCTTTTATTTATTCCAGACCTTATAATTTAGAGAACACGGAGGGATCATGTGGATAACGTTACAAGCTAAGAACATCTTTAAGTGCCTTTCGTGGAAGAGGCAGCTAAAAATAATGATTTTAATTGTTGGCCATTCTGAATTTACTAAAGCAAATTTCTTCTGATCATATTGCAGAGGAATGTGCAGCTAATGTTCAGTAAATTTCAATTAACGGGCGGATAAAGAATCTACGTTTCTTTCAACTTACACAGTTTGGAAGAGAAAATTGTCTCACACATATTTTTTTGAACACCATATGGATATGTTGTAAGTTATCATTTTCCTTTTCCTGGAACAGTGCAGAAAAATCTTTCTTGAGTTTCATATTCCACAGGCAACAGAAAAATTGGACTCTGAGCAGATAACCAAGGTATTTGTTTTGTATGTTCTGTCAGATATATTAACCTGAAGCTTCTCTGTCTGCTGGTCGTGCTTCATCGCTGCGTTTAAAGAAAAAAAAGACGTGCCTCAATTCCACAAAGTACAAAAATAGAGAAGGAATAGCTCCTGAGCCTCAACTTCGCTTATTTTAAATAAAAGGGACTACCTGCTCTCCTAACCTCAATTCCGAATTTTGTGGGTTAAAAAGATAAAATTCCTTCAGAAATTCAATTAAGCGAATTTTATTTTAGAGAAATGGAACTGCTTTCTGAGCCTCAATTACACAACTACAAAATCCTCAAACCAAACGCTGCAAAGTAATACAAAGAATCTATATCACAGAACAAAAAACCTGACGTAATTAGCAATACTCCAAGGTCTCACCTCACTGTTTTTGCCCATTTTCGTAGTTGTGGAGGCCCTGCTTTGAAGGATAATTCTACTGTCTCCGCAAATGTTGGGAGAACTGGACTTCCCGTTCTTTTCTGCAGCTCTTTGGCTCCAGTAAGCTGAAAGAATTGAATAAAACCTTAGACATAACTGTTTCCATGGTGAACTCGTTTCACGTATCAGAAGAGAACAGACTCTTGGCGTTAGGTCACCTTGAATGCACATCACACAATACAATTTAGGAAACTTAAACACATGGTGTAACAGTTCTTGTGCGTTTACACTGTCAATGTATACATTTTCAATTCGAGAATGTGACATTTTAATGTGTGCTTACAAATAACCCGAAAGGGCAGAGTCGACACGTTTACGTGGGTAGAAAGTGCACCGAGTATAAAACGTGTCTCATTTTTCTCTATACGGCAGGATTAACTTTAATTCGAAATACTTTACTCTCTGACAAATAACTAGCGAGTTACGATCGATTTGCAGGCAACAAGAATGAAAATAGGTCTTCATGCAATGCGTCCATTACTACGCTTCGGTATGGTAATAGGCCTATAGAATTCACAATATAAAATCTGTTCGGAGGTTCACGAGTTGTAATATGCGGACAGACCGTGATGTAGGTTTATAATAAACATAATTTAACATGCTATGTTATACAGTCAAACCAACGATTTGTACGACGACCCCTTTTTAAAAATAAAATAAAGATGGCTATTTGATTTCGGTTTATCCTCCAGCGGGGTTGAATTTAACCGATAGGTACCAAGACAAAATCACCCTGATAACGTTTAGTGTAGATTTCAATACGAAATTTAATTTAAATCCGGTCAGAAGTTTCAGAGACAAGGAGAGGTTGTGTTGTCCATTACGCATCTGTAGCGCATTTTGTTTAAAGAAAGGATTATAGTCGTACTGTGTTCACGTAAATGTAAAAGTCCCTGGTGCTGAATCACGCACCACGAAATGGAGATAAACCTTCACACATTAGTAACCTCGGTACTAGATGGAGGCTGGTAGTTAACTCGACCCTTCAAACCTTTCTCCCAGAGCAAATAACCTCGATATCCACTGGACATCAGGCTGGGTTGGTCCCAGATGTGATGAAAAATATCTTGAGCTGCTAAGAACTGAACTCCTGTCGTCCAACCAGCAACGTCGTCATTATACTGACTCAAGAATCCTGTCTCTTACTGTATTTAAGTGCTTTTCATATTGTCTTTGTTTTTAATTATGATAAAACGAAACCATAATATCGACCTGATGATGGAGGCAGTAAGGACCTCTAAAACATCCACAAATATCTACCGGACTACACTGAGAAATATCGCAGAATACAGAAATCTTCTGATGTTAAAGAATTAGATTTACCTTTGACTATTTCCTAAATCTAAATATGAGGCAATGCAGTTAATCTAATAGCCGTATTGTGATAAGTAATCTTCACGAATCAATCAAGGATTATTTATGACTTCCAGAATTGCTAGGTTGTCAGTGTTTAGGTCAAGGTATTAAACCGAAGTTTATCTGATTCAAGCGACCATGAAGTCACCTGCTTCATTCTCCTGTCTTGTACGGGGTCAAGGAACACACGCATTGCGTGAAGGAAACAAACTCTCAAGGATTTATTGCGTTATGAATAAATTATCCGAATCTATTCTACACAATACTAAAGAATTCAGTCCCTACTGCAAAGAAGGCACTCACAATTACAAATACCAATTTGTTGAGGCTGTTTAACGAATAATCCTCGCTTCACTGACAACTACACGAACCCATAATTTAATTCTTAAAGCAGACTGTGCATATAATTACCACTGGTCTTTAAATGAATATTATTAAAACTCAGTAAGTCAGCCACCGAACGTGAATTAATTTATATTCATTTCCCACCAATATATTAATGTAAATTGGCCACGACAATTTGTCCAAAACTCTTGCCTATTCAACATTCGTAATGGCCTTTTTAATCTCATTGGCGGTAGGGAAACAACTGGGGTCACAGTGGAGCCTGGGCGGTCTAGAACAGCGAACCGGAACATTTTTCACTATCGGAGCGTCACAAAATGGATTAATTAGTATCTTCACCACGTAATCCATTTAATCCAACGCTGTAAGTTAGAAGGTAATATATGCAGCCGACAGAGCGTCTTTAAATTATCTACAAATTAATTAATGGTGCCGTGGATTCTACAAAATCAATCCATTTTTCATTCTTTAATTTAACCCCATAACAAAACATATTCAGGGAGGACCTTCACTCAGCCTACAATTTCTTTTTCATTTCGTTGAAGTCCCAGTATTGTTCGGTGTAGCGAGAATCTTGGGCGACAACTGTTGTTACCGGGAGTCATCCTCTTACCTCGGCTGCCTTTTTAAATTGTGCTGACGAGGGCAAGACTATTAACTTCCAATTGTATTTGTTATGATTGGACTATTTACGTAGCATCGCAGTAACGTGAAGAATTTCGTCAGAACATTTCACAAAATGAAAAGAAAATAGGACAAGGCCACGACTTAGCCAATATTTGGTAATCAAAACAGCAGAAGTGTCTCAAAATTAAGGTCAGGTTAAATTATTGCTACACAACTGTTCAAAAATATTCCGTTTTCTAGTCTCCAACATAAACACGTAAACATTAAAATATTTTTAAGATGGTATAGTTGCGTCATATTGTGAAAATATATATTTAATTAAGAATATAAATAAAGATATTAATAACTTGGGATCGAAATTAGTTTTAAGTGTTATGAAACAGTAGACTGATGAGAATTTATAGCCTACAATAACTGTCAGGGACGGTTAGTAAAGTTTCATTTACAAATGTATGTAAAATTTGTAGGTTATGGCACACCTGTTACAATGGAACTTTGTTGATGAACTTGGAATATTGTTCACAGGTAATGTCGCGCTCGGCAAGGACGCCAGCAATTCGTTTCCTAACGTTAACCTCTGACTTTATTCATTTGGGGACGCATACCAAAGTGTTGGACATAAAATGGACGTTCGAGCCTTTAAATATGGAAAGTAACAATGAATCAGAGGAAATTTCGGACGTGGGATATTCGTATATGGCCGTGTGATGTAACCGGAAACTATAAATGTCAAGATTCAAGGACAAGACAATAGTCTAATTGCCACACAGCCCGCACAAATATAAGGTGTTAACGGCACATCCCACATCACGCAAGTCAACTGCCAACAGATTTGACTTGTTTCATCCGTAGTCATGTCATGTCCGTTCATCTAATGCTTTGAACTTGGAAGTGGTTTTTTTGATTAATTGGAATGTAGGCTTATTAACCCTTTGAAGCCGAAGATCGTCTAAATATTATTTATGAATTCAGTCCGTACCGCGAAGAAAACACTACACCTCACCATTACGAAAATCAGCTGGTTAACCCTTTGAAGCCGAAGCTCGTCTTCATAATATTTACGAATCCAGACCGTACCGCGAAGAAAACACTTCACTTAACCATTAGAAGTCGAATCAGGCGGTACCACATAAGATTTAACAAAAGAACAACCCGGTCAAAGCCTTAATAATCTGTCCTTAAGCGATTCTTTTACAGACCAAATAATTAAATTCATAGTGGGCAGATCCCATTCTCACACTTTTCCAAAAACTGCTCACAGGATTTCGATTAGATTAGCAACTACCTTCTTCAGGAGTGGGACGTTCTTGTTAACGGGGTTAGCACGCCTAACATTGAAAAACGAAAAAATAAATTGTGCTGTTTTACTTTCGCGGATCAGCGGTATTCATACGCTGGAAAACAGCAGAATGAAAAAGATGATTCTCTAACTGTAAATCGAACATTTCGATAGAAAGAGCATCATTTTAATATATTTTAAATATTTTAAATGTTAATTGTAGTAATATTATTTTGATATTTTAATATTTAATAAAATATTTTATTGTGATTAGACGGTTAAAATTAAACAATTATAATCATCACAATATGACGCAATATTATCATCTCAGAATCGATCAGTTAAAATTCATTGGTGCTTGAGATCGAGGTGATTGTAACAACGCTGTTTCCTTAAAAAATCGCATTGCCTTTACAATCTAGAAAGGTAACAGTGGACATATTTTTAGAATAAAATATAGTGGAGCCTCTCATCTACGTTTGTAGTTAAGAAAGTCTTGGTGTCCAGGCTAGAAGTTCAACTTGCCGTCTATTTGGCCAATCTGTTGCAATAAGCTGTTTGTAAAACAAACATTTTCCTCTGTATGGGTTAACATTCTTTTCCTTCTCATTCTAAAATAAAATGGGCTACAATTCAATGACGAAGCCACATTTACATAACCCTTTTTCGTCCCTAAAGTAATACCATGTATTTTAGAAGCATTCTATGTAATTCTATCTTATACCCAAAGATTGCGACACATACGCACGTCCTTCGCTGCTTGTACACCGCGATTTATTTATGTTCATTCGGTGATCGGTCCCGCTGGAGATCTTGATAGCGAATGCTTACCAACATATGCTGACAGTAGACACAGATGATCGATAGAAGAAGCGAGACAACTGGCCCTGCGATGAGACCTGCGTTGCGGAACGCGTCCCCCATGGCGTACAACCCCGAGCCGATGTTCCCTTTCAAGAGGTGTATAAGC